ATATTTTCTGGAAACCAAGTTTCTGAATAAGCAAAAGTTACCCATTTAAGTCTATGTGAATGCCTATGTGAATCATGGTATTCTCATATCTAAAATAGTTGTGTAAGTCATCAATATGCAAAACAGTTAAATGTATCACATCTGACTACTAAGATATCAAACCAAACATCAAAAATAACTCCAGTAGTTCTTATACCTGGCTGATAATCAGAATCATCTACTGGGTTTTTTTAATTATGAATTCCTGTACCTTCACCTAGAAATTTTTTATATGAGGGAGGTCCTATAATCAGTTTTTATCAGTTCCCTCGGTGGGTATTGAAATCATCAGGTTTGAAAATGGCTGCCGAAAAAGTAAAAGAATGCCTAGTATGAGTAACTTTTTCAAAGGAGTAAATGAAATCTCGTGTGGTTAGTTTGCTCTCAGGAAGCAGAACATAATGAGAAATGTATCTAGGTTCTCCATTTTGAATTCTATTCCCTCTCCTAACCTAAAGTCTAAGACACATCTAATGGAAAAAGTAGGTATCAAATATACTCATCTTGACATTGAATACATTACTTTAAAACCATGTGAAACTTTAGGATCACTATAATAAACAATATTTTACTTTATTTATTTTTAAACAATAAATAATGTTGTTTAAAATAATACCAAATTAGATAGTAAAGCTCAAATGGACTTGTATTCCAATGAATGACAACCACTAGCCACATGTGGCTATTAAACACTTTATATATGGCATCTCAATTGAGATGTGCTGAAGCATATTGTACAGACCAGCTTTCAAAAATTTCATACAAAAAGAAGAATGTAAGTATTAATAATTTTATGTGCATAACATGATGAAATGATGATGTTTTTATTATATTGGACTAAGTAAAATATTAAAGTTAACTTCCCTTTGTATTTTTTAAATTCTTGAAATGTTCTTACTAGAAAAATAAATTACATGGCTTGCATTATATTTTTATTGGACATCACTGTTGTAGAATTTCTTCCATGTCCTTTCTAGTACATTTGTTGACCATCTCCAACTTGCCTCAAATTAGGGTTATTCTAACATTCCCGTTCTGGCAACCCTACAGTATGCATCTACTTAGAGAAATTTTGTGAGATATGCTTTGATTTTAACACTAATTGTGTGTGATGAAAAGCCCTTGCATGCACTCCACATTTCCATACCTTTTCTCCACACCTAGTTTTAAGAATCAGTAATTAGAAGAAAGAAAAAAGGAGAAACAGTGCAAAAATCTATTTGATGATAACTCCAAGTACTTAACATCCCAGTAGTGAGCTAAAATTTGAAGGAACAAAGCAGATGTATTACACATATCAGCACATCACTATACAATCATACCTGGTAAGTTACTCGTAGAATGACTAAGTGTACATTTACATATCCAAGAGATTTCTTGATAAAAGATCAATTTGGTAAAAGTTTACAATGACACCTGTAGCATTTTCATTTTATTTATTATTTTAAAACAGCTTTATTAAAGTATAAATTAGTATAAAATCCACCCATTGCAGGTATTTATGATTTTCATAAATATATGGAACTCTGCAACCATCACCTGGTATAGTTATAAAAATTTTCTGTCACCCCAAAAAGTTTCTTCATGCCCATTTGCAGCACCTCACTTTTACCTCCAGCCCTCAGCAGCCACTGATCTGCTTTCTTTTTCTAAAACTTACCTTTTCTAGACATTCATACAAACAAAATTGTACAATATATACAGTGTTTTCTATCTGACTTCTTCACTGTGCATGAAATTTTTGAGTTTCATCTGTGTTCTAGCATTCTATTAGAATTCTTCAAAGAAACAGAACTAATAGGATATATAGAGATTTATAGAAAGGGATTTAGCTTATGAGGGCTTAGTTTAGGTGATTACTGAAGTTAAGACCCATGATCTGCCTTCTTCAAGCTGGAGGCCCAGAAAAGCCAATGGTGTAGTTCCAGCACAAATCTGAAGGCGTGAGAACTGGGGGAACCAATGGTATAAATTTTAATCCAAGTCCAAAGGCCTGAGAACCAAGAATGCCAACGTCTGAATACAAGAGAAGATAGATGTTTTAAGTCAATCAGACAACAAATTTGCCTTTTCTCCACATTTTTGTTCTATTCAGACCCTCAAAGAATTGAATGATGCTCATGTCAAATTGGTGAGGGTGATCCTTACTGTTTACTGCTTTAAATGCTAATCTCTTCCAGAAATATCCTCACTGACACACCCAGAAATAATATTTTACTGGCTATCTGGGCGTTCCTTAGCCTAGTCAAGTTGACACATAAAATTAAACAGCACAAGTAATAACATTTTCATTTTAAATATGACAGACTAAATAAATAAATAAATAAATAAATAAATAAATAAATAAATACCGACATATTCTTAGTCTCTTCCTTTAATAGTGAGAAGGGCAATATTACAAAGATCACTAAAGGGCAGGCAGAACTACTAAGATAAGTGCTCCCAATGTTTTATAATAAAGGCACTTCTTTTTTTCTTCAGAAATGTGTAACTTCCAACAGGGAATTTTGCAAGAATATATTTTTCCCCTCAGGCTTATTTCATCCTTATGGATTTTAGGAATATAAGGAACTTTAACAGTCAAATGCCTAACTAATGTGGAAGTGTCCTCTGCAACATTTCCAAATGTGTGTAATGGGAAACTCAGTCCTTTCCAATGCTGCCAATCCATCATCATAGTCATCATCATCATCATCAAAATCATCACTTTTTCTTATAGTGAGCTAAAATGTGTTGACCTGCAGCTTTTACCCATTAATTCTGTTTCTATCCACATTTCTTGAGTCATATAAACCAATCCCCTTTACACCATGACAGACATAAGATTACTTAAAGACAGCTGTTTTCCCCCAGAGACTTCACTCGTTTCCACTCATTTTTCTGTGCACACATTGTCTCAGTCTGATATCTTCAAAGCACTGAATGATTGCCTTCCCTCACCCACAAGTATTACAGCAAGTGGTCAAGCAAATGGTAGTGCAGACCTCCACTTTTTGCTTACCAGTGATTATTCAGCCACAGAGGCAGAAAGAGATATACCAAACATCAATTTATCAGCCAGTCTTTATTAAGATTGGTCTCTAAGCAACTCTACTCTCTCTCACTCCATTTTAATGAGAAGTTATTAACCCAATTCAGAGCCTAGTTCAACTGATTCGGTCATGCAACATGTATGTGCAAAATCATGAATCCTAGGTTGATCCACCAAGGCTTCTTGTTTCCATTTCCATTTGTATTGTCAAAGGAGAGTATATGCCTCTTTCAATCATTCTTAACCAGAATTTTTTAACTGGAAATGAAAAAAAAGAATATCCATCTCCAGGCAGGTGTATTATAAATAAGAGGACATTACCTGGTCAGATTTTTGCACAAATAACATAGAATAGCTTTAACAAAGTTCATTCAAATGATGATTAAAAGGATAAACTTTTAAGACTCTACAAAAACAGACATGGAAATGAAGACAAATACAAAGTATAACTGATGAATGACCTGAGGAAATAGCCCCTAGAATATAGTATCATTCTCTGTTAGGATTTTTCTATGTTTTTCTGACATTAAGTATTTATCATTGTGTCTGAAAACCATGTATTTTTTAAATTATTTTTTTTCTTTTCTAAAGAGAGAGAACACATGCAAGTGGGGGGGAGGGGCAGAGGAAGAGAGAGACACTCTCAAGTAGGCTCTACACCCAGCATGGAACTCGATGCAGAACTGGATTCCACAACACTGAGATCATGACCTGAGCTGAAATCAAGAATCAGATGCTTAACCGACTGAGCCACCCAAGCGAACCTGAAAACCATCTTAATTCAATAGTTTCTCAAGATTGAAAGGCATGCCTTATAGTTTCACTTTGCATTAACACCTAATATAAATGTACACAGATGGTGGTGACTAAAGATAGGTAGGCCTCACTGTTCAAATATCATTCTGGCAAAAATTATGTATATATCACATAAGGCAGCAAAGAATGATTGGGAAAGGTAGACACAGTACATGAAAAAAGCCTTGGAGGCTAGAATCTAGTCCCAGCTCTACAAGTGACTTACTCTATGACCTTGAGCAAATCATTTGGTACTACTCTAGTTCTTTTTTTCCCAGTTATAAAATGAGACAGATAAACCAGATAATTACTAAAGTTTCTTACAGTTGTGATATTATACAAAATCATAGTTCAAATATAATAAGAAGTATTAATATTCATTATATACTTGCCTTGTGCTAGACACGATGTTAAACAGCAGTTACATGCATTAACTTGTTTGAATCTCAAGTAACCTTGGGAGGTAAGTAAGTTAGGGAAGTAAGGAACCTGCCTAAGGTCACAAAATAGTGCAACTGGGTTTTTAAAAACCAGGCAGTTTGACTTCAGAGCTATCATGCAACCTCCACTCTAAATTAACTCTAAATATATAAGAGAAACTTGATATTTAAAGATCTTTCCAGTGAATTCTTCGAGAAAATGAATAGTCATCTCCTAATTGATTGGCTTTTAAGCTCCTAGATAGCTCAACAGTTTTGATTTGGTGGGATTTTTAAAAAATCTAGTTATATATGTATTTGATAAATGAGTAGAATTTCTTAGGTTTAAGATGAAGAAGGAGCAAAGGATGTATTTAATCACCCATGCCTTCCCTCATCTTAGCAGGCTGGTTGTTTCCTAAAGTATTATTCCATTGAATAAATTGCTCAAAAATTTTGGATTAATTTGGAGTATCTGGGTGGTGTAGTGATTAAGTGTCTGACTCTTGGTTTCGGCTCAGGTCCTAATCTCAAGGTTAAGAGATCGAGCCCCACATCAGGCTCTGCACTCAGCACAAAGTCTGCTTAAGACTCACTCTCCATCTGTTCTCTCTCTCTCTCTCTCTAATAAGTAAATAAATGAATAAATCTTTAAAAAGGGAAATGAAAATGTTTTAAAATATCACTAATTTTTAACTTTCTCTTTCTTTTTACAGTAACTGTTTTGAGCCCAGCAGAAAAAGGTAAGATAGTATTGTAAATTGTATTGGTCAGAATTGTATCCTTCTTTCTATCTAAAAGTCAATTACATAAAAGCCTATAAATTGAGCAACTTTCCCAGGAATACTGAATTAAATGGAAAGTTTAGGATGGTATTTTTCAGGAAGCATACCCAGAGCTTATCCAGAGATACAGCAGAACATATCAGTGGCCCCTTTGGCTGTAGCACAGGAATTGTAAGTTACCAGAATTTATGATAGAGAAAGGCAGAAGTAACCATGCTATTGGCCATAGTGATCCCAGGCTCTTGCTTCATTACTGTTGTCCTAGGTACCTTGTCTTCCTGCACAATTCATTCCTTCTTCAAGGTATGGAGTAAGGGTACCATGAGGAAATTTAAAGGGATAAGTCCTTCACCATCACAGTTGCAATATATTTACATATTCTTCTTCACTCTTCACCCCCATCTGGCTTAATCTTCAATTTATACTACCACTGTAAAGAGATTAAGTAATTTTCCACTAAAAATGTGTAAGCTAAAGATGAGTCTTAACAAACATTTAACTTCACATTATTTTTTCAGACATAATCGTAAGTATTTATGTAGCCACTTTATATAGCCACTTTTTATTCTCACTTCATGGGATTAACAATTGTAATTAATTAATTATATAATATTTATATTACACATTTTATTAATTTTTTTATTTTAATGCCAATATACTTGACAGAGTAGTAGTATATTGGTTTCAGGTATACAATATAGTGATTCACAATTACTCAATGCTCATCATGATAAGTGTACTCGCTACTCCCCTGACCTATTTCATCCATCTGCCAAACTAACTACCCACTGGTAATCACCAATTAGTTCTCTATAGTTAGGAATCTATTTTTTTGGTTTGCCTATCTTCTTCTTTTTTTCCTGTGCTTGTTTTGTTTCTTGTTTCTTTCTTTCCTTGTTTTGTTTCTTAAATTCTACCTATGAATGAAATCATAGGGTATTTATCCTTCTCTGACCAACTTATTTCACTTAGCATTATACTCTCTACCTCTATCCATTTTGTTTGCAAATGGCAAGATTTCATTCTTTTCTGGGGCTGAATAATATTTGATTGTATATATTTACCACATCTTCATCCATCAATGCACACATAGTCTGCTTCCAATTTTGACTATTATAAATAATGCTGCAGTAAATATATGGGGACATGTATCTCTTCAATTACTGTTTTTGTATTTTTGGGGTGATCACTCAGAAGTACAATCAATGCATCATAGAGTAGTTCTATTTTTAAGTTTTTGAAGAACCCCCATAATATTTTCACAGTAGCTGCGCAAGTTTGCATTCCCACCAACACTGCAAGAGAGTCCCCCTTTCTCCACACCCATACCAACACTTGTTGTTTCTTGTATTTTTTGTTTTAGCCATTTTATAGATGTGAGGTGATATCTCATTGTGATTTTCATTTACATTTCCCTGATGATAAGAGATAATGAGTATCTTTTCTTTTTTTTTCTTTTTTTTTATAAATTAATTTTTATTGGTGTTCAATTTACCAAAATACAGAATAACACCCAGTGCTCATCCCGTCAAGTGTCCCCCTCAGTGCCCGTCACCCATTCACCCCCACCCCCCGCCCTCCTCCCCCTCCACCACCCCTAGTTCATTTCCCAGAGTTAGAAGTCTTTATGTTCTGTCTCCCTTTCTGATATTTCCCACACATTTCTTCTCCCTTCCCTTATATTCCCTTTCACTATTATTCATATTCCCCAAATGAATGAGAACATACACTGTTTGTCCTTCTCCGATTGACTTACTTCACTCAGCATAATACCCTCCAGTTCCATCCACGTTGAAGCAAATGGTGGGTATTTGTCGTTTCTAATGGCTGAGTAATATTCCATTGTATACATAAACCACATCTTCTTTATCCATTCATCTTTCGATGGACACCGAGGCTCCTTCCACAGTTTGGCTATTGTGGACATGGCTGCTAGAAACATCGGGGTGCAGGTGTCCCGGCGTTTCATTGCATCTGAATCTTTGGGGTAAATCCCTAACAGTGCAATTGCTGGGTCGTAGGGCAGGTCTATTTTTAATTCTTTTCATGTGTCTTTTGACCATGAGGATGTCTTTGGAGAAATGCCTGTGTATGCCTTCTGCCCATTTTTAATTGGATTATTTGTTTTAGGAGTTTTGAGCATTTAGGAGTATAAGTTCTTCACATATTTTAGATACTAATCCTTTATTGGATATGTCATTTGCAAATACCTTTTCCCATTCCTTAGGCTGCATTTTAGTTTTATTGATTGCTTCCTTTGAAGTACAGTAGCTTTTTATTTTTGCTAGAGTCCCCATAGTTTATTTCTCCTTTTATTTCCATTGCTTCAGGAGCTGTACCTAAAAATAGTAGATGTTATGGCTGACATCAGAGAGATTACTGCCTGTGTTCTCCTCTAGGCTTTATGGTTTCAGGTCTCACATTTCAATCTTCCATCCATTTTGAATTTACTTTTTTTGTGTTTGGTGTAAGAAAGTAGTGTAGTTTTATTCTTTTACATGTCACCGTCCAGGTTTCCCAACACCATTTGTTAAAGAGTCTGTCTTTTTCCTATTGGATATCTTTTCCTGCTTTGTTGAAGATCAATTGAACATATATTTGTGGGTTCATATCTGGGTTTTCTATTCTGTTCTTTTGATATATGTGTCTATCTTTGTGTCAGTACCATACTGCTTTGATCATTATCGCTTTGTAATATAACTTTAAGCCCAGAATTGTGATGCCTCCAGCTTTGCTTTTCTTTTTTAAGATTGCTTTGGCTATTTGAGGTCTTTTGTGGTTCCATACAAATTTTAGGATGGTTTGTTCTAGCTCTGTGAAAAATAATGGTGGTATTTTGGTAAGGATAACACTGAATGTGTAGATAGCTTTGGTTAGTATAGAAATTTTAATATTTGTTCTTCTAATCCATGAGCATGGAGTATCTTTCCATTTCTTTGTATCCTCTTCAAATTCTTTCATCAGTGTTTTCTAGTTTTCAGAGTACAGGTATTGTACCTCTTTGGTTAGGTTTATTCCTAGTTATCTTCGTATTTTGGTTGCAGTTGTAAGTGGAATTGTTTTCTGAATTTGTCTTTCTGCTCCTCCATTATTGCTGTATAGAAATACAATAGATTTCTCTATGTTGGTTTTGCTATCCTGCAACTTTACTGAATTCACATATCAGCTCTAGCAGTTTTTTGGTGGAGTCTTCTGGGTTTCCTTTTAAAAAAAAGATTTTATTTATTCATGAGAGACACACAGAGGGAAAGAGAGGCAGAGACACAGGCAGAGAGAGAAGCAGGCTCCATGCAGGGAGCCTGATGTGGGACTCAATCCCAGGACCCCAGGATCATGCCCTGGGCCGAAGGCAGGCGCTTAACTGCTTAGCCACCCAGGTGTCCCCTGGGTTTCCTATATAGCATGCAGATACTGAATCTGCAAATAGTCATCTGCAAAGAGTGAAAGATTTTCTTCTCCCTTGCCAATTTGGATGTGTTTCAATTCTTTTCATTTTCTGCTGTAGCTACACCTTACATTACTATGTTAAATAACAGTGGTGAGAGTGGACATTCCTGTTCCTGATCATAGAGAAAAAGTTCTCAGGTTTTCCCCATTGAGGATGATATTAGTTTTTGGTTTTATGATGTTGAGGGATGTTTTCTCTTAACCTAATTTGTTGAGATTTTTTTTTATCATGAATGGATGTTGTACCTTGTCAAATGCATTACCCTAATACCAAAACTAGATAAGGTATCTATAGTGCAGTAAAAGACCTGCAGTTGTCTTTTACTTTTCAATCTATAACTCCCTTATTCGCTCAGTTGAGCTCCTTAATGAGAAATTTGATATTCAATTGCTGTTTTATCTAGTGGCCAAAATTCTCTATCTTCATTTTTATATATTGTCAGTGAACTCAATCACACCAGTGTGGTGTCATTTGTAAACTCAACTCAGTTCAGAGCCTTCCTAGTAGCATCAATCCAGTTGCTGGGATTTTAGCTCTTTAGATTATGTTGCACATGTATGATTTCTTTTTCTTTTATCACCTATTTGACCAATTCTCCCCTCATACCTCCTCTCTAGTAACCATCAATTTGTTCTCTATAGTTATTAAGAGACTGTTTCTTGGTTTATCTCTCTCTTCTTTTTGACCACTCTTTCCTGCTTTTTTGAAGATTAATTGACTGTATAATTGTGGATTTAATTCTGGGCTTTCTATTCTGTTCTGTTGATCTATGTGTCTATTTTTGTGCCAGTACCATGATGATTACTACAGCTTTGTAATATAACTCGAAGTCTGGAATTGTGATACCTCCAGTTTTGTTTTTCAAGATTATTTTGTCTGTTCAGGGACTTTTGTGGTCATAATGTTTGATTGTTTGTTTAAGTTTTTATTTAAATTCCAGCAAGTTAACATACAGTGTAATATTAGTTTCAGATGTAGAATTTAGTGATTCTTCATTTATATACAAGAACCAGTGCTCATCTCAACAAGTGCCCACCTTAATACTCATGTATTTAGGTTATTTAGGGTTAAACACCTGTTTAACCCATCCCCCTGCCCACCACCCTCCAGCAACTCTCAGTTCGTTTTCTATAGTTAAGAGTCTGTCTCATGCTTTGTCTTTCTCTTTTTCCCCATGCTCATCTGTTTTGTTTTTTAAATTCCACATATGAATGAAATCATGTGGTGTTTATCTTTCTCTGGCTGACTTATTTGCTTAGCATAATACATTCTAACTCCACTATATCATTGCAAATGGCAACATTTCATTCTTTTTGATGGCTGAGTGATAGTTCATTGTAGGTATATACCACAACTTCTTTATCCATTTGGACCACTTTCTTCCACCACACACACATACACACACACACGAAACTCAAAATGGGTGAAAACCTAAATGTGAGACAGAAAACTATCAAAATCCTACAGAACGTAGGCAGCAACCTTTTTGACATTGGTCATTGCATCTAGA